TGCTACCCGACACCACAGAACATTCGTGCACAATTAAAAAAGGTAGCACTCCTACTAATGCCGCCATAACGTAATGTAATCAAATATTCCGTAACGCGAACACTGAGTGATACGAGGTGTCGGCGCCAGAACATAAGAGATTAAAAATTTGTTACGTAAATGAGTTTTCTTTTTTCCTTACGGCCCGCAGATTCATCCGAAATATGCGGCGCGACTCACACGGGGCCCTCAAAAATTCAACGATGCGAGTCTGTGGCGGGCTTATTCTGTGTTCTATGCTAGTTTAAAAATTTTATTTCAGGGACATACCAGCCTCTGTGTACGGGTTTGCCCGCATGCGTGCTTATTTGGCAGAAAGTTTTTCAAAGCGTCAAAAACTCGGTCGCCCAAGCTGTTCTGACACACTTCCCTTTAGGGTTTACATAATGAGATAACAAAAAAAAAGAAAAAATGTGATTTAAGCAGTTTCTTATTTGAAGAGATGCGAGAACGCTCATTCAAAGGTATGTCTTGCTACGTTTATATTCTTTGTCAGTTTCTTCTTTTTTTTAGGCACCAAATCCTATTTTCATAATCATAAAATAAACCGTTTTGCACTTACTCTCGAATCGCAGTAAAAGTTAACAATTTGAATACAGCCATTCTCGCAGTTTGGGACGAGGTGAGGTCTCCAGACGGTGTCTGTTGAATATTTCACTTCATTATTACAGCCGCGCCACGTTTCTTGTGTAATATTAAAAGTGGACGCGATTCAAGAGACCGCTACCAACAATCGTAAATTAACTATGTGTAAGCTCAGACAAGACTCCGTTTCTTGGATTCTTTGCTTTGTACACTAATTTGGAGCAGTTAATATTCCAGCGGTTTAGCGACTACAAAAGTAGGGTTTCGTTTGGCATCTGGTTTATTAAAATAAAACAGAACAGATGTGACATTAAGGAACTATTGGTATAGCAGGAGCTTAATATAGTCATTAGTCATCATCATCATCACCTTCCCCAATGATTTCCACAATGTCTGGTTGGTGGCGGCATGCACCCAGCGCCTTCTTGCCACCTTTATGAGGTCGTCGGTCCACCTTGTGGGTAGACGTCCTACGCTGCGCTTTCCGGTACGAGGCCTCCACTCCAGAACCTTGCTGCCCCATCGGCCGTCAGTTCTGCGTACTCAACATAGAGAGTTCTTAAGATCTAAACATACTAAAAATGCTCGAAGTCAATATTTGAACACTGATTCAAGCCACAATGGGGATGTTGCCTGGGTCAAAAAGCAAGAGTTTTAATTAGTCCGTCATTTAACTTATCAAAAAATACTCTACACGTATTTTTTCACTTTTTCAAACTAATGAAAATTTAAAGAGATAAAGCGCCCCAAAGTTCATAAGAAGAGGCCCGTGACATCAACGCTTGCTTAAAAATGCCGCACGTTGTGACGTCGTGCGCAACTTCAACGCACCATAACTATGTAATTATTTGTTAGATTGACAAATAAAAATATATGTGTCCAATATTTTTTGATATTAAACATTACGGACTAAAAAAATTTTTTTAGGCAACTAGCCTATTTGGTCAGTTCAATTTTTAAAATGGCAGCCATTTCCTATTGGTCTATAGTTATTGTAATGTAGATTTTTATTAGACAAACGCATAAAGAAATACCGTAAACATTATGGGGTGAAACCTTGTGAAACCGCATATTCAATGATACAAGTTTTGGACACAAGCCAAAGTGTTTATTACATAAAAGAGCCATTTATGGGGAAAAGATATCACCAGATGGTTTTTGTATTTATTGTGATACGGAAGAGTTATTTCTCTCTTTTTCTTTTGTGAGTTTCCTTGCATTTGCATATCAAAGACCTAATTTTGGCAACTTTATATGGTAAGGTACTATTACAAGCAGAATTCTAAAATAGGTATTGCTTTATTGGGGCGTCTCTTTATAGTCTACTAGGTCTAATCCCTGCTGTGTTCTCCCTGGTGCCAGACTTGTGGTCTCCTTTCTCCTCTTGCATCTCCGTCAGCAGGGGTACGCCGTGACAACAGAGGACCCCCGCTGAAAATCAGTTTCAAGACGAGCCTGGCGGTCTTGGTGTACGCTTAGCGGGTGCCTTTTTGTCAGAGGGGCACAAGCAGTTAACTGTCCACTTGTATATTTCTCTGTTTGTATCTATATCTTGCCTGCTTGTATACCTTTCTTTCAAATAAAAAGTTTTCTATTCTATTCTAATCCAATCATAAAGAAATTCAACTTATAAAGTCAACACGCCCATGGGTACTGAGTACCTACTCAGATCACAGTGTCAAATGTAATGAAAATACACATCTATTCTAAGAAATTTTCAAGGATGCTTTATTGCCTGAATTCTAGGCACTCTGACAGAGTGACTATTCAAATAATGTTAGTGGCGGGCGTTTTATTCTTAGGTTTCAAAATAAACAAGGCACTAATTTTAGCCTATACATGTATCGTAAGGTTTTTATGCTTCTAAGTAATACCTAAATATAGCTAAATAGACTCTGTCTGAGTTACAACCCCAACGATAGAAGAAAACGCTAAAGAGACCAAAATAAACTATGATTGTCCCTGTAAGTATCAATTTCGTAACATTTGATATCAAAAACTCATCGCTTTTTAAGCAAGCTGCAACATTGAATTTCTAAGGCTGAGTTGCAACATCTTCCCTTAAAATTATCACTTCACGGGATTTATTGCAACAATATCTATTTTAACGGTAAATAATATTTACCCTCTCGACGTTTCGGCTCGGTTGCACGAGTCATGGTCGCGGGCAGAAATCCCGTGAAGTGATAATTTTATAGTAAAAAATGCAACATAATAGTTTAAAATATTATATCTTCCCTTAACTTTGTCAAACGTCAAGAATCTGTCAAACTCCATACAAAAAGCACCGGTTATTGTTATTATTTACGGTTAAAATAAGATGATGCAACTCAACCTAATTCTTGATACTCGTGACCTAAAACGATTTAGCTACACTTTCTTTCTCTAAATCAGTAAGAGTAAATTAAACAAGCAAACCGCAAAAACCCCACTAATTCTTTAGAACACTGAGCTGGAAAATAGCTGAGCTAAGCCAGCATCTTTTCTTAGCATTATTATTTCCTCTTTAGATTTGTAGCGCACATTTAAGACCGAAATCCTTTACGGTCATTAGTGAGTGCAAGTTCTGTGAACAAGAGTTTAATTAAATTAACTGGGCTATTAGTTTAAGCTATTTAACCCATTTTATTTTTTAATTCTGAAGTTTTTTTTTACGAAGCTACCTACTTCCTAATTTTTCTAGATCTTTGTGATCTTGCTATGAGTAAAAGACATAACAGATAGAACGTTATCGGAATGTATTAATAAAAGCTTTTGTTGTTATCTTAATTTACGTATGTTACTATGATATAAACTCCCTGTGGAATCAACTTTTGCCGCATTTACTATTTAAATTAACACGCAATTCAAATGCAAAAGTTTCGTAAAAACTAACCCTTACTTATAGCGTAAGTAGTCGGGTATTTTTTTTTTTATTTTTGCTCATTAAAAAACCGACCTTACGGCATCAGATTTGATGAGGGAGTTATCATTTTTGGGGAACTAAATATTGTTACTAATGCACCCGAGCGGAGTCAGCGTCTCCTCCACCCTTTTCTCTTGCGTTTCTAGACTAAAAGCCTTATGTTTTGGAACAAGGGATAAGTTTTCGGCGATCAAAAATAAGGACAGGATTTCAATAGTCTACAATTAAGATTTCTGGGGAATACGCAGGACGACGTCCTAGATACGATTATGGATTATAATCCTTTCTTTCTTTTACAGAGGAAATGACATGTCATGAAAGATATAATTTTTATGTCAACACGTATAAAAATCGATCTTTTGCTACTCTTTTCCAATCGTAGGTATTAAAAATTTATGTTTAACTAGCTCAAAGGTGAAAAATGCTTTACTCTTTAATGTTTTGCTATTTTGCACTTTATTGACATGAAATATTTAAAAAAAGAAAGAAAAAATATGTCTCTACATTTCCTATGTCACCTATGTTCTTTACCCATTCAACAATTTAAATCATCTTCAGTAGGGTTGTATTTTCTTGACACATTAACGATAAGCTTTTGAATTTTGCTACCATTTTTTAAACTTGATTGAGGTGCAATAAATCTTTGAAAATATTTTTTTCTATAGATAGATAAATCGTTTATTTGCAAACACTTTAACACACATTATGTATAGTTGCAACAATACAAGAGTGACAAAATAGCAGGAGACAAAGATGATAAGCACGTATAATAAAACCTAATTAGCTTTTAAGATAGTTCATTGCGTCAGAGTGATGTGTGCCTTAGCGATGCAAAAAGCAAAGAGCTCAGTGTAAACACTACCCTCAAAAGGACAGAACACCGATTTTCAGCTCTTATAGAAAGTGGTTTCATCTCCCGTTTCCCGTTTTTCGCCCAGACCACAACTCGAAGATACGTTCGAAAGGTGGAGGCGTACGTAAATTTCATTTACCGCTGGAAAGTGCCGAGCTCGAACGCAAACTCCACTTAATTACGCACATAAATTGAGTGCTCTTCCCTATACGACAGATGTGGCTGCTTTTTAACTCGTAAAATATCGTTTCTATACATTACAGAGTGTACGCGTAATTGAGATCATTATTGAGTTAGGTCGCCCTTGTCTATTGAAACGTATGGAGTGTTTGATGATTTATTTGCACATACTCGTAATAGGTGATATCTACTTGAGGTCTTATTACAAAGGCACAGTGTTTTATTAGGTCAGTCTTAATTATTACATAGGCAGGTACCCCAGAATCGGTCGTTATGGATATCCTTGGGGGAAGCCTTTGTCCAGCAGTGGACGTCATTGGACTGAAACAAACGAACGAATGAATACTAACATAGGCATATACTTAGTTTATTGACGCTACTCTATGGATCAAATTTATTATGATCTATATGGTCATGACTTTGGATTAAGTGCTTGGTTCTAGTTATAGTGTATTGGAATAAATTTTCATTGCAATGGTTTGGTGGATAGATATAAAACAGAGCGATGAAGACTATCATGTAAGTAAAATAGGAAAAACTTAGGGAATTGCAATAAGTCATTGTGGCATAATAAAGAATAGTTAGTGTAGATTTTCAGAATCATGTAACGTAAAGGTAGACGACGACAACGTAAAGGTAGCGGGAAAGCGTTGGACGCTTGCCGCTACCAACCGGGTAACATGGAAAGCATTGGGGGAGGCCTATGTTCAGCAGTGGACGTCCTACGGCTGAGATGATGATGATGATGATGATGATGTAACGTAAACAATAATGCAACAACAATAATAAGTATAATAAAATGTAGATATTAATAATAATAAGTAATTACCGAGAAATTCAATTTCCAGATGTATGATAAGTTTGATATTCAAGAGGATAGAATTTTTCAATCAGTCAACGTCATGTTCAATTTTGGTAAGAAAAACATCTCTTTAGTACCTCCCTATAGTTTAAAGATGATGATGATGATGATCATACTGAGCCAATTTCGTGCACTTATTTTGTTTCGATTTCAAATTGTCTTTTGTACCAAATAAAAATTTATTTCAAATATTGTTGTTCCAGCTGAAAAACTATTCGACGTGTACCACATCCGTGCATTGTTAAAAAGTGGAGTGAACATTTTCAACATTGATCGAACGATCATTGACAGTTCGTCTTCTATTATGATAAAAAAAGCTATATCAGATTGTAATGAACCTGAAATGTATCCTAAACCATATTACAGACCTGTGTGCATAGCAGTTACAATATCTGTTACTAAGCCGGTGACTATTGAAACCGATGTAAGTATAAGGACTTGATCCCAAGGAGACATACCGTTTTTTGCAGGATCCCGTTTAGTAGTAGACGTTGTTTTATTCCCATATTCAGAAACTACTATAAGGTCTCAGAGTGCGCGTGGATGCACAGGATGACACACGAACCAATCAGAGAGCTCTATTCAACGCTGTGCTGCTTCACTTAAGCAAGCATCGTTTGTGAATACGGACGTTTATATTAACGTTCAGACAAACATCCCGTTTGTGTCCTGCAAAAAACCGATCCGTTGGAATTTTTAATTTGAATTTCAAAGACACATAATAATTATGTGTGTTCACACTGCATTACTGGGTCGCGCAACACTGTATTTCCGTGGAAGCGAGCACTAATACATATTTTTATACCCTAGTGAGTTAAAAAAAGAACCCAATCATAAGACGTGATGTAAGAAAAGTTACTTCTTAATAAATGATAGATCTTTACATGTTTTTATTTCAGGTTAATTTAATTATTCTCAAAGATGTGTCAAGCAAACAAGACGTGGTCGACTTTACGGCAGCAAATAGAGATTGGAAGCTACCAATTTTAGTGTGGGTTTCAAAGTATTGCGGTGAACTAAATATGATTGAATTAATACATGTAAGTTTTCGACTTTCACTTTCAATCTTTAATAATTACAACATTCTGCGAGTACTATAGAAAATCTTACCTTTAGTAAATAACATTTAAACCACAATAATTAGCATCTAATACGAGTATGTATACTTACATTTTCTAGATTGCCCATGGAATTGTATTGGATCACTCATCAATGAATAATGAAGATGCACATAATGTAATACAGCTTTGTAAAAAGGTATTGTTTCTCACACTTCATAATTAGAATAAAAATAATTAGCGCAATCAATCACCCGTGTTTCTGTTAAAAAATAATTCTCATTTAATTTTTCTTTTTAACTTAGCTGTGCCCGCGACTTCGTACGCGTGAAAACCTGAGCCCCGATTACGGTAACTTTTAACGTTTCCAATCCAGACGCGCTTCTGATTCTGCGATACGATTGGTCAAAACAGCTGACGTACGCTGTTGAACAACCAATCGTATTGCAGAATCGAGAAGCGTGTCTGGATTGGAGACGTTAAAAATTACCGTAATCGGGGCTCAGTCTTTGCATCATTTGTCATTTTTTCTCGGCTCCTATTACTCATATCATGATGGTATATAGCTTATAGCCTTCCTTGATAAATGAGCTTTCTAACACTGAAAGAATTTTTCAAATCGGACTAGTAGTTCCTGAAATTAGCGCGTTCAGGTAAACAAACAAACTCTTCAGCTTTATAATATTAGTATAGATTGATGATTAAAATTAATTTCAGCAAAGAAAATCAATATTCTGGCTCAAACCTGAAATATGGGAAGATACTAGTAATATTAAAGGAAGCAAAAGGAAACTTTTTGTGATAGCGTCTCAAATAGTCCAAAATGGTGTAGATGGAATAGTCGTTAATGGATCAGAAACTAACATTCAACTTCAAACCGATATTATAAGGAATGTAGTAGAGGCCATGCGACTGGCTGAAGATAATCGAGATTCAAAAGCTGAATTTGGAAAACTACGAAAACAGGTAGATAATATTAATAACTTTCGTTGTCCTATTAAGGATGCGCCGTGAATACTCCGTGACAGACCAAAATCCACGCGGGCGAAGCCACTGTCAAAAGCGAGTACATCTATGTACATACAACAAATCAGAATACGATTTTTTGTTGCAAGATAGCACCTATTTCAACTACATTACGTGCCACTATATTTTTCTTCACAAGCTGCCGACCACAATAGCATCCATAAAAGCGTCATTGGTTGATTGATACCATTAAACAATAATGAAATTCTAAAACACAACTTCTAAAAATACTTCTTTTCTTCTTTCAGATAACAACTCCTCAAATTGCCCCAATAACGGTAGCAATCGCTGCGTCACACACGGCTTTGAATAGTAGAGCATCAGCTATTATTATTCTAACATCTACTGGGAAGACGGCTCGGCTGGTCTCATGGGCCGCACCACCATGCCACATCGTCGCAGTCACTACTAAAGAAACTGCTGCAGTACAAATGCACCTGTACAGAAAAGTCATACCCGTTGTTTATAAAGGTTAGTTAGTTATTTTAGCGTTTGCGTCTCATACAGACAAGATACATGCTACGTTGCTTTCGTAAACCCGGTGTCTACTGGTCTTTTGGGCCTCGTTTATATCTAACCTTCTGTTGTAAAAATAACAGCACAACAATCGAGAACTGCTTCGGCAAAATTGGTACTGACTAATGCGTCCAAGTCCATACTTAAACAGAGTCAAAAGTTATCTGTTCTAAAATCTTAAATAGAACTAAATGGTACGAGTAAAAGACAAACACGTGATTTACCCATTCGCAAAACTCGAAGCGCGCTGCCAACAAAGTTTTCTCTAACTCAAAAACTAGGAAGCGCCAAATAGTGGCATCGCAAATAGAAACACATATTATTACTGTAATGTGTAATTACAGGCTCTCGAGTTGGAAACTGGCGGGAGGAGTGCCGAAAGAGGGTACTTTTTGGCACCGAGCTCGCGGCAAAGACTGGCCTGTTCGGTGACGGTGCCAAATTAGTGGTGATGGCGCCCTCTGGAGAAGGAGTCGGGTACTGCGACGGCTTCCAAATGGTTACTGTGCCGTTTAGATGTGACGTGTAAGCGGTTGACGTAATTTTAAGTTCCTCACCAATGAAGTTGAACAGTGTTTTGTTTTGTGGAATTATTTTCTTACTAAACGTTCACAGTCTTTTGTTTTGTAGAATTCCGTTTCTAACTTTATCTTTTCAATATTACCATACACTCTATGTCTATGATGTAACAGTAGATAAACGAGTAGAATACTTTACGATAAAGCAATCTAGATAGGAATTAAAAGTCTCTTTTAACCACTTCACGTTATTTTACTATTAGGAAGTTACTTCTAATATAGACAATTTTTGGGTTCACAGGTTTAAAGAGATATAGTTATTGGTAGTAATCAGCAACCCTCTTTTGTTAGATTAGACTAGATTTTGTCAGTATGGCATTATAATTATATCGTAGTAAACGGTTTTGCACTAAGTACTTATGATGTATTTAAATCACTCTCCCTTCCTTGTTATTCTCTACTTTCATATTACACGTGACATCGACATCGTTCTCTTGTTAGTTTAACTAAACTTGGAATATAATAAAACAAACACCCAACTATTTTGAATAAGCGGATTGCCCCAACTAACGAGATTTGCGTTGTTTACGTTATTAATAATGAATTGTGTGCATAATTACTATTGCGGAGCCACTGTACAAATATTTGATTTGATTGCGCCAAGCACTGCCATCTAAAACCACTAATTGATATAGTGGCCTGTCTATTATGACTTGACAATAGTTATTGGTAAATCGATTAACTAATGGCTTTAATGGAACTATTAGCAGATGAGGGTTTATTTATAATTAAAATAGGCTTAACAAAAACATCAGCAGGTACCAATTACTCTAACTAAGGTCGACAAAAAACAATTAGCGCATTGAATTGGTTCAATGGGCTGATTGTTTTTTGTAGAATTTGATGACTACTTGGATCACACTTGTTTTGCAAGTCGGTATACACAGGAACTTTTTTTGACGCTTAACGGTGTGTAGTGATGCTTCTTATATTGTAAATCTCGCTTTATTGTGACTTAAATTGGGATTTAGTCAATCTTGTACGATAGTACATAGACAGCATTTCGAACACAATTCAGTTTGATGATGAAAAAATGTGTCACATTCCAAAATAATATCTTTTTTTTTTATTCAAAACGAGGAAGCTCTTGGCCTTATCTCACCTGATGAGATAATTAATTGGATTGACGGGAAGATCTTTGTTTGTGTCTTTTATTTATATTTTCAAATAACAATTGACATGACTGTTACAGATTCAGTTTAAAACTTAGCTTAGGTGAACGTACAACAAATCAATAAATATAAAAATCTATGTATATTTTCGCTGCCAACAGATGGATCGATATTAAAAGAATCACGTCATGACTCTGAAGTTATATTAGTCAACTCACGTTGCCTTTTTCTCCTACTTACATACTGTGCATCGATGAAAAATTGCTTTTCCCACGGTTCAGGGTTTTCAAGTCCGCTGAACAAGAAAAATGGTGTAACAGAAAAGGCTCCAGATGATCGATTAGTCTTCATTAGCTCTAGAATGTTAAGTTGTAACTTTTGCTCCATTTACAGACGACAGTTTAAGGTGTTGTACCTATCTGTGGCATCTTATGTAGGTACTTAAATGTTTTAAGTGTTATTTTGCAAGAAAATGTAGAATATCATGTATGGAGCTTCCACTTGAGTATGTATTGTTTATTTTAGAATAGGTACGTACCGGGTATTTTACTCAACAAGTATTGGTCGAATTTAAAAAAATATTTACTCTGAAAAATTTATTAAAATAATACTTACCTATTTACTGCGAAAATTAGTAGTTAGTATTACCTGATTAGTAGTTTCTTAGATGTTTTCAGCGAACTGTAGTTTGTACGATATTAGGTAATTAATTACCTACTTAATTACGATTTTTGTTTCGAATAAGTATGAATTCAGTTAATTGTATCTAATTTAAAAAGTACCAAAAATAACCACGCGATCATTGAGTCAGTTCCGTTACAAAAGATTTTATCCTACAGAGAAATATATTTTGTTTGGCAATTTACAATAACATAATCTTGATGTATCGTGTAAAGTATTTCGCGTTAATTTTGTATCGACAAACCAACAGTTTTCCGCATTATTTTCCTTCACACTTATCTGTTAAAGGTAGAAAGAAGGTAGCAAGAGGAGAGGAGCGCTAAGCATGATTTATACCAGCGTCCTCGTCCCTTGTCAGGCCTGATTCCCGAGTTTCCACATTAATATTCATTACAAACTCTAATTTGTTCCCGTTTATTTAATTTTATCAGGATAACTACTGGACTATCAGCTGTTCAACGTGAGTAAACTAATTTAGTCTGAGAAAGTTTTGAGTGAAAATTTCGATTACCTATTTTTCAATAATTTATTGAAGTGAAATAAGAATCACGGACTTCTTTAAAAGTGTTGTCTTTACACGAGTTGATAATAACAATATGGACTACCTTGAATGGTATTTTGAATGGGTTATTTTTAGAATCTGATCAATCTTTTGTTTGACGTTTTCAGACTATACGAGTAAATGAGGAAATAAAAACTAAAAGTGACCTTAGTAGTTATCACCAGTACCTACAGGTAATATTTCGTTCCCAAATGCTTTAGTTTAATGGCATACCAATTTTTGTGATAAGTCTATTGGCGACTGTCCCAAGTGTTCCTACGTTACAAACGTCTGACCACTTTTTTAAACATTTTACACCTTTTACACGGATATTGGCTTCAATTCAAAACGCCATACGTATAATTCGTTCCAATAGAAAAACAAAACCATCCACCGACTGAAAAACAACAACGGCAGCTAGTTTCTCTGGACAGTCTTTGTCTTTGCAAAAACATTGCGAATCTCAACCTTAGCTTAGCCTTTTAAATCTCCAACAAATAAATTCCATAAAATATCTGCAGAAGGAACGAAAATAACAGAATTGTATCTAGATTTTCTATTGGGAATTGTACTTCGCCCTTAGGAAATGTTAGGGTTGTGACTAAGTAAGATTTTAGTATGATTTAAGTAAAGTACTTAGTTTCGTTTTGTAAGTAGTTATATTTTATCAATAATGTCACATAATATGCTAGAGTACGAATGATGCTGCGAATGAAACTATGATACTGGAAAATATTTCGTGTAGTGTAGGCAAGAATAACAATTAGTTTTTGAAGAGATATGTTGGACATTTAGAAACCATAACCAAACTTACCATACAAAGTATCTAATTTTGAAACGAAATTTAGTTAGTTAATGCAATTGCATGCAATCTATTTTAGTAAAAATAGTTTTTATTTATATCAATGTTACACGGTTTTTGCATTAAGTCCTCTTATAGTGCAATTTGCCACATTACTCAGCACCTCCATACATCTCAAGTTGTCGACGACAAAATTTATGGCTTTTCTCCTTACCCTTTAAATATTGGATTGGCTATATCCGTGCAAACCCTACTTGGTCACTTTTCGCGGTCAAAACTCCCAAAATGTAAGCCGTAATTCGAATGTTTCCATCTCTCTCACACAAAGCGAGATGCCAGTGACAGAATATATCCGAAACTACGTAAACGACGTTTCAGATTAGCCCTGCTACGCGGTCAAAACTGCGCGAGCGATATACGGAGCACAACGCATGCAATTCAATGCGGTTACGTTCCAAAATCCTATTCGTGAGATATGGGTCAGCTGCTGTCTAAATATTGCATGCAATCGTTTGTGGTTGGATCTAAATTCAAAACGGTTGTCAGGTAATAATCAATCTTATGCCTATGCCAAAAGGACATCCAAAATAGCATTCAAAGCCATAATCTCCACAAGATTGGAGTCTGATATACCTTCCTTATTATTGTAATTCCTTGGAACAGTCTTATTAAATCGATTCTTTGCTTAATAAAAGATTGACTTTTAAGATAAATACCAATCAGACTTCTATTTATGTTCAGTTTATAGTTTCTTTCCTCATCGTCTTGTATGTACCTGGTAGTTGAAAAATGTAAGAAATTATTCCAATTTGTTTCTCGCCACGTTTGAACAGATCTCCAAGGGGGTTGGTCACTTATCTGGCGGGTTCCGCTTAGTCCTCAATTTAATTTGATACGGATATACCCTCCAACCGCAACATGCTATGAGCCCCTCCTTATAAACTCCTTTCAATCCTTCTCCAGGATTGACTTCGGGGTACAATTGTGTGGAGATGGACTGCGATTTTCTACCAGAGCTTTGTAACTAAGCATCATACTTAATCGCTTGTAACGCGACGGTCTAATACACTATAGACAACATCATATCAAGGTAAAAACTATGGCATTTATGTAATTGTAATAGATGCCATTTTCTACAACAGACAGTAAAATTATAGCCTATTGTGCTCATGTTCTAGGCAATCGTTACGTCATTTTATATGTATAGCCGCAGCCATGGATGTACAGTTTGACTGTGTATGACACACTGTGTCAATTAGAATTCCTAATTGTTCCAATCCATAAGAGTCCTGTTGAGTAGTTAATGATTATGACGTCATTCCCAATGACATGATTTTAATGTAGAGCTTTACAGCACTAGTGTTTAAAATTCTACCGGGAAGGAGATTCGTAAAACTTTGGACTTAACATGACTTGGTCAATGTGTCTTTGCACTAAATATCAGTTAAAAAGTAAAGTTAAACAAAATTTTAAAAGCATCCTCCACACTTTCTTAGCACCAGCTTAAGACGACTCGCTCAGCAGCCGGGCAGCATTAAATAAGATTCTGTTTTATGTTGAATCAGCCTCTGGCTTCTGTAAAACTATTTCCTATGGACTCTTCAAACACTGAGAGGGGCGGATCATCCTGCCGCAAATAAAATTGGATTTTATTCACTTGAAATACATTTTTAAACTTGCTGATCGTGGGGTTTAAAAGACCCTTCGTTGCAATGCATAGTACGATGTTTTAGTTTATAATTTAAATACCTCAAAATTAAATGTAATAACTAGGTACCAACCGGGCGATGTAGAAATCATTGGGGGAGGCTTATGTTCATGAGTGTACGTCTTGTGGCTGAAATGATCATGATGATTGATGATGATGATGAAATGAAGTGAGATACCAGCTTGTTTATCGATTAAAATTATTTAACGTTGATGTTAGAAAACTGTTAAGTTACGCTCATTACTCTGAATACCTATCGTTTATACTAGAAACCTAATCTAATAGCAGTTACGTAGGTACGTGAAAGTTTTAGGCTGGGTTGCACCATCTTACTTTAATTTTGACAAACGTCAAA